GGAGGATATCCATTAATGATACCTAGGGATTGTTGAGCTGGCTATAGTTTTTACCTGTATACGTCTAAAGAAATACTAAGTTCAGGAACTTGGGGGGGGCAGTAAATGGCCTCTTCCTTCTTCCCCCAGGTGGAAACCCATGATTGAAGCCTAGGTGTATGCATGCCTTCACAGGAACAGCATAATTGTTCCAGGAAACCCTGCAATATAAAGAAAGTGAGTGAATTTTAATAGGTGCAGTTCTGATATAGGAACACTGGAAGGAGCAGGTGAGCAGCAGACATACAAGAGCTTTATAATGCTGCCAACTGAAATGCCTCATCACAGAAGTCTTGCATTCACTGGTATAAACATTGATGCCAAGATTCTGAATAGAAGTCATAAATCCCCACCGTGAGGAATTCTTTGTACCACATTTTGTGCACTTTCCTACCTGCCTCTCCTTCTGAACAAGACTTTTTCATACACCCCCTTCAAGCTCTGTGGAGGACAGTTTTCTGGGATGCAATCCTACAGTGTCATAGGTGTTTGTGTGTGTTTGTGGCAAAAGAGGGAAGAGATCTTCAGCCTTCAGCTACTATTTTGGTGGGATTGTTTAGCAGGACCAGCCCAAGATATTTTACTGCCCAAAGCTTTTCAAGAAATTTTCCCCCACAGTAGAGCCCAAGGCAAGTCAAATTATTTTGATTTGACATAAGAAATCTTGCAAGTTCCTCTCTGACTCCCCAGGAAGAAAAAAGTATATTAACCAACAATTTGCTGCTCTTTCATGATCTCCCAGATCTGTTGCACAAGGTAGCCCTTGCACTGCTCCTGATGGTAGTGTGCTGTCCAGTTGTATATCGTCTGATTGCCTCTTCTAATATTTTCACTAATTTAAATATTGCTGTTGTTATGTGCCATCAAGATGCTTTCAATTTATGGTGAACTTATGATGGCCTTCGAAATGCATGATATGTTGCAAGAATTTTTTTTAATCATTGCTATGCCTCAGATGAATTTCCATGGCCACACAGAGATTTGAACTGAGACCTTGTCTAACACCCTGTCAGCTATATTATTATT